CTCTCTCTCTCTCTCTCTCTCTCTCTCTCTCTCTCTCTCTCTCTCTCCCTTCAAAACAAATTAACTAAAGGCACAGAATACAGAGATTCTGAACATCGTGGGATAGTCAATGTGATTACAATGTGTTATAACACCATCAAATAGCCGAGAGACGTGGTGTTTAATGAGCACTATCTCTGTACTGAAACAGACATACATTTTTTATTCAGTGAGCTGATTCTGACCCCCAGTCATTCCCAAACCAGTAACATGAGCACTCATATGTAGGACCCTCAGAATGATGAGCTCAGACTGGCTTGTGGACAGGTAATCTGCTGGGGTACATGGAGCCACTTGGAATCTGATTTTTTTTTTTTTTAAGAGCCATTTAACACATAATGTATTTGGGATCCAGGGCTGAAGTCTGCTTGTACACCATGGGCAAAGCACGTGTCCAGATAAGTCTCCAAGTTTTCTCCACGTCCTCAGAATCCCAGCTACATAACCACCTGAAGAGCTATGAAAAACCAGGGCTGGAGCCTGGGCCAATAAGGCTGGGAGGAAGACCCAGGCAGTGACTTTTTAGAAAGTTCCCAGGCGCTCCTTTGAGAATCACAGTACAGATCTAAGCGTCCTACCCTCTCTTCCCAGTAGGTGGTGCTGTATGAAATCCCATAGAACACAGCTAGCCTGTGAAGCTTCTCAAGGTCCTGTCTCCTTCCCTAGGAGTGGCTGCCAGGGTGACTGAATTAGATTCAGGGCCTGAGCAAGTGCTTTGCCCAGTACTTGCAAATCTTGCAAGATATCAGATCTGCCAGGGAAGCTGGATCTCCAGCCACAACACAAGATCTGGAAGGGTCTGGAGGGCCATCCTGCCTAACCAAGGTTTAGAAGACAAGTTTACGCTGGGTCTGGTACTCTAAAGAAAGCAAGAGAATGGCATGAATCAATGGTTCTGGGACTCCAGGGTCCTTCTCCCCAGAGAGTTCTAACTAGTGGAGAAGGTAGCTATGGAGGGGCTAGTACTAGCTATGTAAGTAGCTATGAGAAGCAGAAGGGTCTTTCTTAACTCCTTCAGAGACTTTGATTTGTTGTATGGGACTTGGTCACCTCCACCTCTGAACAAGAAGTAAAAATGTACATTATTGGAATGGGTCACCAGGTGTCACAGGAGGGTAGAAGCCAGAAAGACTGGGCCAAGTCCTTCTGGTTGTATGATTATTAACTGTGTGTTGTTGGGGCTTCTTCTTCTTCTTCTTCTTCTTCTTCTTCTTCTTCTTCTTCTTCT